CACAGCACCACACCAGGACTCCAGAAAGATGTTTACCTGTGTTTTATTGACTTTGAAAAGGCATTCAACTGTGTAAATCCCAACAAATGATGCATAATGTTGCAAACACTAGGAATGCAACAGTTAATACAGAGACTATGAGGCAGTCATACTAACAAAACAAGGGGATGCCATGCATTTTAAAATCAGGAATGGTGTGTGTCAGGGTTGTATCATTTCACCTGACACTGTGTTCATCACAGCATTAGGGTTAGAAAAAGACTCATTAACAACTTGCAATATGCAGAAAACTTGAAGCACTTCCTAATGAAGATCAAAGACAACAGTATAGATTGAAATTAACATACAGAAAAACAAAAATCACCACAGTTGGACCAATAAGCAATATCACGATAAACGGCGAAAAGCAGCTGTCAAGGATTTCACTTTATTTAGGTCCACAATCAACACCCATGGACGCAGCAGTCAAGAAATCAAACAATGTATTGCATTGAATAAATCCGCTGCAAAAGACCTTTTCTGCAGATATCACTTTAATGACTAAGGTGCACCTGACCTTAGTAGTCATGGTATTTTCAGTTACCTCATATGCATATGACATCTGGACCATGAATAAGGAAGCCCAAGAAAAACTGATGCCTTTGAATTCTGAGGTTGGTGAAGAATATTGAAAGTACCATGGACTGCTAGAAGAACAAAAAAAAATATTTTAAAAAGAAAGAAGGGTGTGCGCCAGGGTTGTATTCTTTCACCATACTTGTTCAATCTGTACGCTGAACAAATAACCAGAGAAGCTGGATTATATGAAGAAGTGCTTACTTTGGACATCAGGAAGAACCAGTTCCTAGAGACGGCTATCCTATAGATCAAATAAAGGGTCAGTGAAAAAGAGGAAGACCCTCAAGGAAATGGATTGCCAACAGTGGCTGAAACACACAGTAATGATTGTGAGGGCAGTACAGGACCAGGTAGGGTTAAATTCAGTTATACTTGGGGTTGCTACTCGAAGTCAAGGTGTGCATTTTTTCTTCAGTTTTTTCAACTTGAGCGTGTTCTTCCTATCTTTTGGTTTTCTAGCTCCAGGTCTTTGCACATTTCATTATAATACTTTGCCTTCTCCAGCTACCGTTTGAAATTTTCTGTTCGGCTCTTTTACTTTCTCATCTCTTCCATTTGCTGTAGCATGTCTACCATGGTGGGCAAGTTTCAGAGTTTCTTCTGACATCCATTTTGGTCTTTTTCCTTTTACATGTCTTTTTAATGACCTTTTTGTTTTCTTTTTGTATGATGTTCTTGATGTTATCCCACAACTCTTCTGGTCTTCAGTCATTAGTTTCTAATGCATGAAATCTGTTTTTGAGATGATGTCTAAATTCAGATGGGATGGTAGCGTAGGGGTTACGAATCGGGCTGCGAACTGCAAGGTCAGCAGTTCGAAACTACCAGCTGTTCCGCGGGAGAAAGATGAGGCTTTCTGCTCCCGTTAAGATTTACAGCCTCAGAAACCCTGTACAGGGTCACTATGAGTCGGAACCGACTCCACGGCACATAACAACAACAATGTTCAAGGTCAAATTTTGACTCTCATAGACTCGTTTTAATTTTCTTCAGCTCTAGCCTGAATTTGTGTTCCGCAATCTGCCTGTGACCTTGTTTTGGCTGATGGTATGGAGCTTTTCTACTGTCTCTTCCCACAGATGTAGTCAGTTTGATTTCTGTGGCTGCCATCTGGTGAGGTCAAAGGTACTTGCAATGAACAAATCATTGGCCTTGCAAAATTCGATCATGCAGTCTCCAGCATCATTTCTATCACGAAGGCCATGCTTTCCAACTACTGATCCTTCTTCTTTGTTTCCAATGTTCAATTCCAATCACCAGTAATTATCAATACGTCTTGATTGCATGTTTGATCAATTTCAGCCGAAAGAAGTTGGTCAAATTCTTCAATTTCTTTATCAGTGGCTTTAGTTGTTGGTGGGTAAACTTGAATAATAGTGGTATTAACTGGTTTTCCTTGTAGGCATATGGATAGTATCCTATCACAGTCAGCATTGTACTTCAAGACAGATCTTGAAATGTTCTTTTTGATGATAAATGTAACGCCATTACTCTTCAATTTGTCATTCCTGGCATAATCAACCTTATGGTTGTCAGATTTAAAATGACCAATACCAGTCCATTTCAACTCACTATTGCCAAGGATGTCGATCTTTATGTGTTCCATTTCATCTTTGACAACTTTCAATTTTCCTAGATTTATACTTCATACATTCCATGTTCCAATTATTAATTGATGTTTGTAATTGTTTCTTCTCATTTTGAGTTGTGCCCCCCCCCCCATCAGCACACAAAGGAGCTTGTTTATGTGTTATCAGGACATAAAGCTTTTTTCCATTCACGTCATCACTGTTAACTCCTTTGAGGAGGCAATTCTTTCCCAGTATATTTTGAGTGCCTTCCAGTGTTAAGGGCACTATGTTTGACAGTATTCTAGTTCTATTCATCATGTTTTAGTATTCAATCTGGTGTTATCTGACAGTGTTCCACTGCTATTCATAAGATTTTCAGCAGCTAAACATGGCACTGTGGGCTAATGCGCTAGACTGAAAAGTCAGTTGAACCACAAGCCACTCCTGGGAAACCCTATACAGGGTGGCTGTGGGTCAGAACTGACTTAATAGCACTTAACAACCACAACAAACATTCAGAAGTAGTCTGTCTGTCTTTATTCCTAATCTGCCATCTAGGTCATGAATAATTTTCACTTCCTTCTTACCACTAGTAACCACATAGAACATTTCGTTTATCAAGAAAATCTTTTTACAACAGTGGTCTCATACAATACTATAAACCACAAGATTGGTGGTTTGAGCCCACTAGCTGCTCTGTGGGAGGAAGATGACTGGAAGAGAACATTCCAAAGAGAGGTGAGCCAATGGAATACAGAAATGATTGGATAGTATCATTAATATCACATGCAAGTAAAATTTTGCTAGAGATAATTTAAAAGCAACTACAACAGTATATTCAAGGAGCTCTGGTAGCGTAGTGGTTACGAATCGGGCTGTGAACCTCAAGGTCAGCAGTTTGAAACTACCACCTGTTCAGTGGGAGAAAGATGAGGCTTTCTGTTCCCATAAAGGTTTACAGCCTCGGAAACCCTGTACAGGGTCACTATGTGTCGGAACTGACTCCACGGCACATAACAACAACAACAACAACAACAGTATATTCACAGAGAACTGAGAGAAGTTCATGCCGGATACAGATGAGGATGTTGAAGAAATGGAAAGGGTGCAGAACTGATCATCAGCCTACCATTCAACAAATCCTGCAGCTCGTCTCCTAAGAATGATCGCAGCCCCCTCCATGTACCATCAGCTCACTGTATTTACTTGGTTCACTTTAACTCTTGCACTCCTTCTGTGTCTTCTGATATCTTCATCTTTTTTCTGTTAACCAACCTTTTGTTGGACATTGCCTTCCCATCACCTAAGTTAACGTGCATCTACTCTTTCTACCCTGATGATGCTGTAGGATCAGCACTGGACTGCGATCCACAAGGTCGACAGTTCAAACCCACCAGCTGTCCCTTGGAAACTATACAGGATCAATGTGAGTCGGAATCAACTTGCTGGCACTTATCAAAAACAACCATCTCCACCTAGTGAATAATTTCTTGAGGATATATACCAAGTTAAAGGGATTGCTGGGTCATACAGTATTCTTATTTTCAACTTTCTGAGAAAGCGCCGTAACTTTCCACAGTGGTTGCACCATTTTTCAGCCCCATCAGCAGTGTAGGAGGGTCTCAGTCTCCCCATACCCTCGCTGGCATTTGTTGTTTTCTATAAACTTTGCTATTAATGCTGGAGTACCATGGTGTCTCATTGAGAGGCCATAAATCTTTACAGGAGCACAAAGCCTCATCTTTCTTCTCTGGGAGCTCCTGGTGGTTTCTAACTGCTTATCTTGTGGTTAGTAGCCTAATTGTAACCCGCTATGCCACCAGGAGCTCTGGTAGCGTAGTGGTTACGAATCGGGCTGCGAACCTTAAGGTCAGCAGTTCGAAACTACCAGCCGCTCCGCGGGAGAAAGATGAGGCTTTCTACTCCCGTAAAGATTTACACCCTTGGAAACCCTGTACAGGGTCGCTATGGGTCGGAATCAACTCGACAGCACTTCACAATCACAATCATGCCACCAGGGTTTCTGTTATTAATGCCATCGAGTCGGTTATGACTCATCTCGACCCTGTGTGGGGTTTCTGAGCAACAGCTGGTGGATTCGAACTGCCAGCCTTGTGTTTAGCAGTCTAGTGCTTATTCTACAGTGCCACACCAGGAAGGTTTCTTTGTTGTTAAGTGCCGTCGAGTCGGTTCCGACTCATATCAACCCTTTATGGGGTTTCTGAGGCTTTTTAAATCTTTCCTAGAGCAAAATGATCTTTCTTTCACAGAGCAGTTGGCTGACTCGAACCTTGGACCTTGTGGTTTGCAGTCCACTGTTTATCGAATGGAGATTAAACTCATTGCCCATGAGTCGATTCGAGTCATAGGAAATTATCAATGGCTAGGGATTACGTGAGAATATAATGGATTAAGAATTGTTAAGTGCCGTCCACAGTTTGTTCCCTAAATCGGGTTTCCTAGGAGTGGTTGGCGTGCTTGAACTGCCGAGTTTGCGTTTCAAACCGACCATGCAGTCCAGCGCATTAACCCTGTCGCCACTGGTTTTATTTTTAACAAGATTCTACCCCAGGGTCACCCTCTGGTTTGCGCAACGCGGTGCGACACGCGGGACACCTAAGGGTTAGAGTTCGGCACTTAAGTAAACCGCGTTTTTCGAATTCGGGCTCGGGCTACTGCGTTGCTAAGCAACAGCGTCGCCTCTCTCCTCCGTCGCGTCCCAATCGCCTGCGCAGTGACGCAGAAGGCGCGCGGCGACGCGGCGCGGTGCACGCTGGGATATTTAAGTCTTCTCCGCGGCGCGGAGCCGCGATGTCTCCGGCAGCTTCGGTGGCTGGAGAAGGCGAGCTGCGGCGGCCCATAGCGAGTTTCAGGGACGGCCGGAGCGGGGCCTGCGGCGTCCCGGTTGGGGCACTGCTGCTGGGCTTGTCGCTATTCGGCCTGGTGGTGTTTCTGGTGCCAGCGGCGGCGGCGCTGGCCTGGCTGGCTGTGGGGGCCACCGCGGCCTGGTGGGGGCTGAGCCGCGAGCCCCGAGGTTCGCGCGCCTTTTCCTCGTTCGTTCGAAACACACGACGCCAGCGAGCACCGTTCACTTCACCGCCCGCCAAGTCGGCAGTAAACGGAAGCCTCCTAGAGCCGCGGCGCCTCCTCGAAGGACCCGACCCCGCCGAGCTGCTCTTCATGGGCAGCTACCTGGGCAAGCCTGGCCCTCCGCAGCCGTCCCCTGCACTGGAGGGCAGGGACCCGCGCCGGAGGCCCGTCCGCCGGCCTGCTCCCCGCCCCCCGCCGCCCGCGCCCTTGGTACCCCGCGGCCACCACGCCCAGCCTTCGCCCCCAGCGCCTTTGCGTCGACCCTCCAGGTGGCTGCCCCACCGGTAAGGTCCGCGCCTGCGCAGACTGGCTTGCGAGTTCGGCTCTGGACTGCGTTTGGGTGGTTACTTGCCCCTTAAGTCCAGTGTGGATGCCATGTGATCTGGGCCTGGGAAACGCGCTTCTGTGACTCAAGGGGTGGGACGTGGTGCTGCCAAGGCGGTCTCCTCCCGCCAACTCAAAACCACCCGAATCGCAGCAGTATAGATTTTTAGTACTGGACTGCAAACTGTAAGGTTGGCAGTTCAAACCCACCCGCTCACCTGGGAAACCCTATACAGGGTTTCGGAGTCGGAACCAATTCGATGGTACTTAACAACAACGGTAGATTTAACAACGAACCTTGGTAGCGCAGCGGTTAAGTGCCGGCTTCTAACCAAAAGGTCAGCCGTTGGAACCCACCACTCCCTGGTTGCCTTGGAAGCCCAACGGGGCACATCTACTTAGCCTTACCAGTGACTCACAAGCGACTCAGGGTTTATAGATTTCAAATATGTGATAATGCTTTGAGTAAAGATGTCCTTCAAATTTAGTCATATTGTGTAGTTGGTTCCGACTCACAGCGAGCCTGTACAGGGTTTCCGAGGCTGTAAATCTTTACGGGAGCAGAAAGCCTCATTTTTCTCCCGTGGAGCAGCTGGTAGTTTCGAACTGCTGACCTTAAGGTTTGTAGTCCACTTCGTAGACTGTACTTAGTCATATAGTCTATTGTATTTTGGTCTTTAGACCACGAAGAGAAATGAAATCAGTTATTAGAACTCAAGAGAGTTGTTCTAAAGAGTAAATGAAATGATTGCTACAGAAACCCAGTAAAGCACATTTATATTTAGTCCAAATAGTGATAGCGGAGAACGCTTGAGTCTTGATCATTACATTGCCTTTGGAAAATTAATGTTTAGGTATGGAAATGGGTTTAAAAGGTTTGACTTTGGGTGTATAGTACTGGCGTTTTTGCTTCAAAGATTGAAAAGTCTCAAGAATGCTTGAAAAGCTGCCCCCCCCCACACCCTTTTATTCATTCTGTTGTGTGCACAAGGGTTCTAGTTGCCCTCACAAATGGTTGAGGTTCGTTGTTGAGACAGCTGTTAGACAGCTGCCACTTTCTGTTCTTAGATTGGGTGGCGACAGGGGAGGGAAAGTTACAATAAAAACATTGTGTTTTGGGTTAGAGATTTAAGCTCTGAAAACTATCTGAACCCATGTGTCCTAGTCATTTTTATTGACATTCTTTCATTTGTCTGGTATGCCTCCAATTCTTTGCAGTGATTGTGGGACTTTATCAAATCGGTTTGTCATAACGCCTCGGAGACGATACCCAATTCAGCAGGCCCAGTATTCCTTCCTGGGGTCCCTTCCCACAGTGTGCTGGAATGGTTACCACAAGAAGACCGTGCTTTCGGCTCGGAATTCCAAGATGGTGTGCAGCCCAGTGACCGTGAGGATTGCTCCTCCTGATAGCAAACTGACTCGGTCGCCAGTGTGAGTATTGAAAGAACAGCTTCCTTTTCGTGCCCACTTCGTTATTCTTTGTTTCTTTTCCGACCACTATAAAGCAAAAAGATGACATAACTATAGATTCTAGTAATTAAGCCGCCTTTAATTTTTTGCCCTTGACAGTAGCTTAAATTGCTCAGGGCAGTTTTTGTGACTATATAGAGTATATTTTTGCTTCTGATTGCCGTAAGTTTATGTCTGTGCTGCAGAGTCCTGGTGGCACTCTGGATTAGGGCCAGGCTGTGGCCCTGTGGCGGGTTAATGCACTGAACTACAAAGGTGGTTTGAACCACCAGGTCTGCAGTTAAAGCTCACCAGTTGTTCCTCGGAAACCCTAGACAGGGTTGCTATGAGTCAGAACTGACTTCACAGCACTTAACAACAACAGTTGGAGTTCTGGTGTGGCACTGGACTACAAGGTCTATTTGAACCGCAAGGTCAGTGGTTCAAACTCATCAGCTGCTCCTTGGAAACCCTATATAGGGTCGTTATCAGTTGGAACAGACTCAAAGACACTTAATAACAATATTAACCTAACCGCAAAGGCAGTTCTGACCTACCAACTTGTTCTGCAGGAGAAAGATGAGACTTTCTGCTCCTGCAAAAATGTATCATCTTGGAAACTTTATATAGGGCTGGTATGAGTCTGAATCGACTTGATTTTTTTTTTTAAACTCTGCTAAATGTGTGGTATAAGGAGCTCTGGTAGTGTAGTGGTTACGAATCAGGGTCGTCAGTTCGAAACTACCAGCGGTTCCGCGGGAGAAAGATGAGGCGTTCTGCTCCCATAAAGATTTACAGCCTCGGAAACCCTGTGCAGGGTCACTATGAGTTGGAACCGACTCCACGGTACTTAACGACAACGATGACAAATGTGTGGTGATTTTGGTATCTTCATGTCTTCATGCTAGAGTCTTGTCTTTCATTCCAGACCGGAGCAGATAATCAGCTCAGCACTGGCCTCACCATCTGGTACCATTCCAGACCCATGTGCAAAGGAGACTGTACTGAATGCCCTTAAGGAGCGGAGGAAAAGGACAGTGGAAGAGGAGGACCACATCCTTTCTGATGGCCAGGAAAATAAAAGAAGGTAACGGACCCAGCTGAGTCCTAACCAGCCTCCCTAGTGTGCTCCGGGAAATGTGTTGAAATGTAGATCATTCCCCCAAAACAGACCAGCTTCAGTTTGTGAGCATCCATAAAAGAGCCTGGTAACCACGGCCTTTTTAATGCGGTTTACTTCCTAAGGCACTGGGTAGATAAATGGCATAACCTACTTTTTCTGTAAGTTCCAGAGATAAGCCAACAGTGCCAGCCAGATTAGCATTGTACTTTTGATAACAGCATGTTACATTTTATTTTTGAGAGAGAATGCTCAGTCTTGTGTTCATTTATTTGGGTAACTACTAGATTCACAATTGTACTGAAGGAAATGCTTGCCAAACAAAAGTGAAGACAAGAATATGGTAGATTTAGCAAGGATGAGCATCAAACTAATTTTTTTATTTGAAAACAATTTATGTGAATTTTTTTTTTTTTTTTTTTTTTTTTTGTGATTTGAGTGATAATTTACAAAGGATATTGGTTTCCCACTCACCATTTCATGTACTTTGTTTTGTAATATTGATTGCAAGCCTCACAGTGTAACAGCACTTTTCCTACTTCCTCCCTGTGGTTATCTTTTCCATTCATCCTTCTTTCCTATCCTCCCTGCCTTCTGAGTTTTGCCTTGGGCAAGTTGTACCCTTTTGATCTTGCTTAATGGAAATACGGTAGACATTGCTAGTCAGCATACAGAACTACTTACACCTTTCTGAGAAGTCACTTAAGGAGTGAACTTCTGTTTTTAATTCAGCAAATATTTGTTGGGCACCCACTGTATGGTGTGGCGCTGTGGGCTAATGCATCAGACTGCAAAGTCGTTTGAGCTGCAAGGCCGGTGGTTCAAGCTCACCAGCTGCTCCTTAGAAACCCTATACAGGGTCACTATGGGTCGGAATCAACTCGACCGCACCTCACAACAACAACCCCCCACTGTATGCCAGGGCCCAGGTACTGTGGGTTGTTGTTAGGTGACATCAAGTTGGTTCCGATCCCAGCAATCCTGTATAGGGTTTCCAAGGAGTGACTAGTGAACTTGAACCCCCACCTTGCAGTTCAAGCCCACTTTGCAGTCCAGTGTATTAAGCCGCAGCGCCACCCCAGGTTCTGTGGATAGACTAGTAAAAAAAAACTTGTCCCACTCTCCTGGGACTTTCTTGAGGGAAACAGACCACTAATTAAGAACCAGTAAAATCAACAAGGTGATTGTAAACTGTAAGCATATCTGGGAGGGATACAAACTAGGGTGTCTAACAGGGTAATGAGAAAGGGGACTTCTTTATATAAGGTGGTTAAGGAAGGGGTCTCTGAGGAGACATCGGACGCCACGCCTGAAACCATAATCATTGTCTCGATTCCAGATTGTTCATGTCTTACTGTCTCCAAGGTGACCAGCTTTGATGCTGTAGATAACAAAACCAAGTAGGGGGACTTCGTTAAATGGCAGTAGATGTACATAATACAGAAAGACCAGGTAATGGTGACTAGAAACCTAGTGTAGAGTTTGTGGCAGGTGAGCAACTTGAGCTAGTGTCAGCTAAACAGGAGTGACAGGAAACAGGAGTTACTCATAAAATCCAAATTATTTCTCATCTTCAGGGAGGTCATTTTGGTCAACTCTGGTGAGCATGTAATTGAGCATTCTGTATCACCTTTCCCATAAGTAGAGTCATGTGCACCTTGGATGGGATCTTACATACTCTTAAGGTTTCCCCTGACAGACTTGGCTTGGTAACCTGGATCACTGTGGGAAGAGTGACTTGGTCCTTCTGGGGTCTTTTTGTTGTTTACATTTGTGGATAGTGTTAAGTGTTACTGGTTCCAACTCACAGAGTAGTGTTATGTGTTGTTGTTGTTGTGAAGTGCTGTCTAGTTGGTTCTAACCCATAGCAACCCTGTATAACCAGGAGCAGCTGGTGAGCATGAACCACTGACCTTGCAGTTCAAAGGACTTTGCAGTCTGGCGCATTAGCCCTCAGCGCCACACCAGGACTCCACACTTTTTAGTGTTAACTCTGTTGTTAAGTGTGGTCAGTGTTAACTCATAGGGTAGTGTTGTTTAAGTGTAGTGTTCGCTCACAGATAATGTTGTTAAGTGTTGTTGTTGTTAGGTACCATCGAGTTGGTGCCGACTCACACCGACCTTATGCACAGCAGAACGAAACACTGCCTGATCCTGGGCCAACCTCACTACTGTTGCCACACTTGAGTCCATCAATGCTGCTACTTGTCCATTCCATCTCGTTGGGGGTCTTCCTCTTTTTCTCTGACCCTCCACCTTACCAAACATGATATCCTTCTCCAGCAACTGTTCCCTCCTGACAATATGTCCAAAGTATGAGAGACGAAGTTTAGCCATCCTGGCCTCCTCCAAGGAGCACTCTGGGTGCACTTCTTCCAAAACGGATCTATTGGTTCTTTTGGCAGCCCATGGCAGTTTCGTATTCTCCTCCAGCACCATAACTCAAAAGCATCAACTCTTCTACAGTCTTCCTTATTCACTGTCCAGCTTTCACATACATATGAGGTTATTGAAAATACCATGGCTTGTGTTAGGCTCACCTTAGTCTTCAAGCTGACATCTTTGCTCTTCAGCACTTTAAAAAGGTCTTGTGCAGCAGTGTAACTCACAGATAGTGTTGTTAAGTCTAAGTGTTGACTCACAGTGTAAGTATTGTCTAGTTGGTTCTGACTCACAGCGTTTCTAAAGAGCCACTGGTATGTTGCAGTTTGCAGTCCAGTACTGATCCTGCAGCCACACCAGGACTCCTTGTAGCTAGTAGATGAACGAATTTGTGATTGTAATACTTTGTTGTGAAGTTAGCCAATTAAGAATTGATACATCTGAATAGTTCAAAAGATTCTTAAAGTGTTTCTCGTTTTCCTTACTATCTGAACAGTCTTTTTCTGGCATAACATACTGCATAAACTGTGGAAGCTTCACAAGGGGGAAGGAGGACCCAACTCAAGCAGCCCAAGGCAGATTCCTGTGTGTGGGTGTCGGGGGGTGGTATCAGACATGCCTCCACCCTGCAACTTTCTGAACTCTGTTGTGACACTAGCCATCATTCCCACAGCTGGTTCAGTAGTCCATTGTAATGGCCACACACAACTCACAATACTCACAATTAGGGGGTTTATTAGGGAAGTGAATAGGATACAGTTCAGGATTAGAAACACTTAGGATCCAGCGGTTTCCAGTCTTCTCTGCCATACTGCAGACATGTCTCATCCTTGTCTTCGGCCTCTCTGCCATGTGGCCCCTTGGCCTCTGCCTTGCTTGGCTACAAGCTCTTTTAGCCAATCTGTGGATGCCCAAAGGGCACATTGTGTAAGCCAGCCTCCTACCCATAGGCACTTAGCTTTGCTCTGTCCGTGGGCCTAGAAGCCTGAAGCTGCTCTGTCTCCCCATGCTGTTGCCGCTTTTCTAAGTAGGGATCTCACGCTCCACTCATGCTCTTCTTTCTTGATGGTCCTGGGATTGTCTGTTCCTGCTTCTGAGATGGCTCCTTTTAAACCTAGCAGATGGCAGAACTAACCAGTCCCAGTGTTAGAGTCTGGTATACCCTATTTGCATGGTCTCACCCAGTCATTTGGTATGGATTAAGATGACTATGGTTAGAAAAACCCTATCAAGTAAATGCAAGCTACCACAAACACATACCCCCAGAGAAATGATAAGGTGCCAAGAATGTGAGAGTGTGCATTTCATTGAGAGTGTTTTCATTCTTCTCAGGCGCCATGACAGCAGTGGGAGTGGACATTCAGCATTCGAGCCCCTGGTGGCCAATGGAGTCCCTGCTTCCTTAGTGCCTAAGTGAGTGAGAGTCTATGTGGTGGAATGAAAGGAGACTGGGGGAAGGGTGTGATCAGAGGGAATCCCTGTACAGGTTCCCCTGTACTTTGACATTATTAGTTCAGGTTTAAATCTTTGAAGTCAAGGGAGGAATGTTTTGAGTGACTTAATCACAATGAACTGTTCTAATTCCGTTTAATCTTTTTCTATAAATATGGATGCAATCTGCTAAGGCTGATTACCAAGGTACCTTGGATAAAATCTTAACAATATGACATTTAAGAACACATGTAGGCTTCCAAAAATGTAAGCTTCTAGAAATTGCTGACCAGCACATTATCTGTAATTTGAATTAAAAAATAGGTTTGTGTGAGGATTGAGTGGGAGGGCAGGTGTGGAAACGCTGTGGCCAGCCCAGTGCATGGCCACCAGAGAGGCCCTGTGCTGAGTCAAAGAAGAACCGAGACCAGAGTGAGCCAGGTAGGTGGGCGTCCTGCTCCCCTTAGCCTTGCTCAGAGTGTCCGGTTCGGTGTTCTGCACTGTAAGAGGATGTCCACAAGCTGAAACTCATTCTGAGTCGAGCAGCCGAGACAGCCAACGGATGTCAGACAATCTGACTTGGAGCTACTTGGGTGGCCATGGTGGGTGAGGGGTTTCTGAAGATATAGATGCCTCAAGGGAAACAGGAAGCTGGATAATTGTCCCCAAAAAACTTGAAGGGCTGTCACATGAGAGAAGGAAAACAACTTGTTTGGTTCAGCTCGAAATAGGGTCCTTGGGTGAAAGTTAGAAGAAATACAGTTTTCTCCAGAATAAGAATCAGATGCTCTCTGGTTAGAGTGTATCACTCTAGAGTTGTGTACCTTTTACCAGGTTGAATGATGATTCCTCAGGAAACATGTATGAGGTAATGCTGTTTCAGTTGAAAGCTTAAAAAAAAAAGGTTGGTTCCTTTTAACTCTGAAATGTTGATTCTAATAGTAATAATACAACTTTATTAAAATATTAGGGACTTGAAAAATTTCATGCAAATAGAGATATTTTCAGGAACTTTCTGAAGTCCGTTTGTGTAGTTAACATGTATTGAAGTGTACACTTGGGCAGGTTGACACATCTGCACTTATGAAACCAGCATCACGACCAATGCAGTAAACATGCACCTCCTCTGAAAGTTCCCTGTGCCCTTTAGTGCTCTCTCCTGTTCCCCAGAATAGGCCTATTTCATCTTTAGATACTTGCCTTTCCCTTGCTGACTTTATCAGATGTACTTAGCTGAGTTGTTAACAAAGTTAAGGCATAACCTCTCGCAGTTGTATTACGAAAGTACCAGGACCCAATTGGATGAAGCCTTTAAGGAACGTTGCCTTCAGTAGCATGTCTAACTCTCCTTTGTTCCCTTTTGTTAGACCTGGGTCTCTAAAGAGAGGCTTCCATTCCCAGAGCGCAGATGACCATTTGAATAAGCGATCCCGGACCTCTTCTCTGAGCTCCTTGACGAGCACGCCTGTGGGTGGCATCCCTAGCTCCAGCCGGAACGCCATCACTAGTTCTTACAGCTCTACTCGCGGTTTCTCTCAGGTACAGCACACCCTGTGTGGGAAAACGGGTTCCCAGGGTTGAACTGGATAGACCAGAATTAATTAGTGCATGTTTCCTAGTTAAGTTCCTGCCTTCTATTGTCTGCCATGTGTTTGGGATAGTCTCTAAGCTAACAGAAGATACGGACTCATGAATGATAAGTTGAAATCAATTAATTGACAGCCCCAAAGTAAACCAATGCATATATAGAAAGCCGAAACAAAACAGAGCTATCATTGCAGATAATTGGACAGAAGGTGAACACTGTTTATTTTACTAAAATATCAATGCAAGAAAAGCCTGGTTTCTCTAGTACTTTCCAGTTCTTTTTCTATGACAGTTGGTGCATATCTTTGGCCCTTTTCCTGCCGGTTTGCAGGTGCATCTCATTTTTGAGAGTTTTCCACATTAGAGAAACGCAGTGGTAGTGGTGTGTTTGTGTGCTGTTGGGTCATTTCTGACTCTTAAGTGACCCTGATGGGGTTTCTGAGGCTGTAATAGTTCCAGGAGCAGAAAGCCTCCTCTTTCTCCTGCGGAGTCACTGATATATTCCAGTTGCTGATCTTGTAATACACTGTGTTACCAGGGCTCCTTATTAGAGAAACGGTAAGTGCTGCTGAGTCAGTTCCGACCCCTAGTCACCCTGTGTACAACAGAACCCAACACCATCCGATCCTTTACCATCCTCATGATTGCTGCTACCCTTGAGCCCATTGTTGCTGCTACCGTGCCAGTCCATCTCATTGGGAACACCCCCTTTTTTGCTGTCTCTCAACTTTACCAAGCATGATGTCCTTCTCCAGGAACCGTCTCCCCTGATAATATGTCCAAAGTATGAGTGACAAAGTGTGGCCATCTTAGTTTTAAGGAGCATTCTGCTTATACTTCTTCCAAAGCATATTTGTTTGTTCTTCTGGCAGTCCCTGTTACCTCAGTATTCTCCAGCACCATAACTCAAATGCATCAGTTCTTCTACTGTCTTCCTGGGTGGTGGTAATGTGCCGAAGAGTCGGTTCTAATTCATAGCGACCCTGTGAGGTTGTAACTCTTCATGAGACCTGAAAACCTCATCTTTCCCATGGAACAGCTGGTAGTTTCGAACTGCTGACCATGAGCTAAACAGTCCAACTTGTAACTACTACATTCCCAGAGCTGCTCACGGTCTTCCTTAGTCACTGTTGCATTGTGGAGTAGAAACTGTGGAGGAGACCATTAGAGGACGTGGTCTCCCCACACAGTGCTGGTTGAGTATCAGTAGGTACCGTTTTCTAGAGAGCAAGTTTGGCCTTTATAAGGATTCTGAGTGTGGTGGTGGTGATGTGCCGTGGAGTCAGTTCTGACTCATAGTGACCCTGTACAGGGTTTCCGAGGAGAAAGCCTCATCTTTCTCCCGCGGAACAGCTGGTAGTTTCAAATTTCTGACCTTGTGGTTCGCAGCCAGATTCGTAACCACTACGCTACCATAGTGTAGCACTTTTTAATATAGCAGAATCTTGGAAACAGTGTAGATGTGCTTTTCACTAGACTGGTCCAGTAACTAAATTCCATTGTATCCGTAAGTTGAAATACTATATGTAACTAGTAAAAAGACTAAAGCAGATTCAGTAGGTCCAAATATGAAATGATTGCAAAACAATATGAAAAAGCCAGGTGCCAGACTGTAGGATTTTATCCTGTTATTGGTTTATTGCTTGTTTCTTTCATTTTTTTAATGTACACAGAATAAGTCTCACAAAATATACTTGAAACCGGTACCAATTATTGCGATAGGAGAGGAACTTGCGTTTCACTGCATACTATTTGTACTTGTTGGAATTTGCAACAAGTACGAGTATTACCTTTCCTAGCTTCAAGAGAGTTTTTGGTGTGGATAACTGTTATAAACAAAGTTTATAACAAAGTCCCCTGCCCTGGCTCTGTCAGTCTCTACCCCATAGGAACCTGTTACTTACTATGTGTGCCCATACAGACAATACATAGAAGTGTGGATTGTCTGTTACACACAGATTGGATCATACCATATGTACCTTTCTGTAGCATCTTTTCTCTTTCAGTGGTACGATTTCATGTCATGTAATCTTTTTAAACAACCTTACTATAAAATGACGGGTAGAAGAAACATACCCAAATCGTAAAAGCCCAGTTCTAAGGCAGCCACACCCAGGTCTCATAGCAGTGCATTTCCCATCCCCAGAAATCCTCCTGTGCCCACCTGCAGTCGTCACCCCCTTCCCAAGTATAGTTTTCCTGCCTTCAGACTTTGTGTGACGGGAACATAGAGCATGCGTTCTTTTATGTTTGGCTTGTTTTCCCAAACATTTTGTTTGTGAGATTTAGCCATATTGTTGAATATAGCAGCAGATCATTTGTTTTTAATTGCTGTATACGTTTTAATTATATGACTGAATATACCACAATTAATGTATCCATCCTACCATGTGCATTTCGAGGGAGTTTCAGAAAGTTCATGGGGAAATTTTATTACCTTTTAATTCCATTTTCTATGGACTTTTTGAAACCCTGTTGTATATAATATATACATATACTCAGTTTTGCAGATGCTGCTAAAGAATTTTTTTAAGTTTGTAAGATTTTGTTCCTGTTTCACAACTCATTAAATTTGGTATTCCAGTTGAGCCTCGGACTGGCAGTGTCTTCCTCCAGAGAGACTGATCTTCTGTTTGGGGCCAGCAGGGAGGATGGAGCCCATTTACCTCTGTCTAGGCCTCATGGAGAGACTTCAGAGTTGTGCTCCATTTTCAGGGGGACTGATTTCTTTCTGTTGTACCCCCATGTCCCAGCCTTTTGCTGCTTTTGATGGTCCTGTGAACTCAGAAGGTGCTGAATTTCAGCTTTTGTCCTTCTGGCCCTATGACAGCTGAAAGCATTTCTCAGTCTTTTACTTTGGGAATCGTCCATCACCAGAAGGGGACCTTGGGCCCAGTTCGGGGCTCCCCTCTGGGCTCTTTCTTTTAGTGTTCTCCACAATTTCTCATTCCTTGCTAGTTCTGCCTTGCAAGCAAATGTATTTCACAGTCAGCATTTCCTAGCCCTCGGCAGTAGGGAGAGTTGGAGCACAGCCATTCCTAGCCGCAGGATTTGTTCCTGGCGGAGCCAATGCCCAGCTGCATATTGTCTGCTCAGTGACACCGGGAGTTGCTGGCCTCCTACGTCAGGGGCCTGGAAAGGTTCAGAGGAGATGTTCATTATTGTTTCATTCCATTTTTCCAAAAACTGTTTGAAGCCCCCCCACCCCCATGTGTGTGGTTGTGAAATGTCACTTTCTCTTCATAACGATGCTGTATAGGGGTCCTGAGGAGCAACAGGTAGCAAGCAGTCCAGTGCTTATCCTACCTGCACCATTCTTCATTTTTGCCTTAATAGTCTTATTTTCTGTTTTTGTTTCGGACACAGAAAATGTTTTCTGTACCCCAAGTTAAGTAACATCTAACTTTTTTTTGTAAGCTTTTGTGAATTGAGTGATAGCTTACATGGCAGAACGTAGATTTTACTTATCCTATTGTATTTTGTTTCATTACAAGGCTTACAATTGCCTTTGTAATGTAAGAGGCAGTTGTTGGAACAGAACATGGGAACACTGAATGATTTAAAATTAGGAAAGGTGTGCACCAGGGTTGTATTCTTTCACCATACTTACTCAGTCTGCATGCTGAGCAAATAATCTGAGAAGCTGGGTTATATGAAGAAAAAAGTGGCGTCAAGATTGGAAAAAGAGTCATTAACCACCTGCGATATGCAGATGATACAACCTTGCTTACTGAAAGTGAAGAGGACTTAAAATACTTAATGATGAAGATCAAATGTCACAGCCTTCGGTATGGATTGCATCTCAATGTAAAGAAAACAAAAATCTTCACCACTGGACCAATAAACAACATTCTTAATAATGGAAAAAGATTGAAGTTGTTAAAGACTTCATTTTTCTTGGATCAACTATCAATACTCATGGAAGCAGCAGCCAAGAAATCAAACGATGTATTGCATTAGGTCAATCTGCTGCACAAGACCTTTTTAAAGTGTCGAACAGCAAAGATGTCAGCTTGAAGACTAAGGTACGCCTGACCCAATTCATGGTATTTTCAATAACCTCATATGCATGCGGAAGTTGCACAGTGAATAAGGAAGACCATAGAAGAATTGATGCATTTGAGTTATGGTGTTGGAGGAGAATATTGAAAGTGCCATGGGCTGCCAAAAGAACCATTAGATCCATTTTGAAAGAAGTGCAGCCAGAGTGCTCCTTAGAGGCCAAGATGACCAAATTTCGTCTCTCATACTTTGGACATATTGTCAGGAGAGACC